ACTCTATAAAATACTCTTACTAACACAGTATATTGCTGGTTAAAATATATTGAAAACTACAAAATCATGACATAGTGCATTCAAAAGTATTTGTTCTAAGCATTTCTCTAAACCTAATCACGAATTCATGGATGAAAATAAACAACACTGGAGCATCCCTACCTGCATGTGAAGATCAAGGAGATGCAAATTGGTGACAACAGCCCTAACAATGCTCTCTCTGGCGGAAGCAAATTCCTGTCGATCCCACAAAGTCAAAATGGCAATGATGGATTGCGAAGCCCATTCAGGCTTCCCACCAGGCACATCAGCCAGGTACAGCATATTGATCCCAACCTCATAGATCAAAGCCGGTTCCAACGAGGAAACAAGGAAGGGCGCCAAGTGAGTCACCACATCCGACACCCCCACAAGCTTCTCCGCGTGGGAATCAACCTCGTCACTCCCATTACCAGCAGATGAAGTCTTGGAGAGTTTACGGATTACCTCGACGCTGCCGGAGGCGACGGCCTTGACGGAGTAGACGATGGGGAAGACAGTCGCGCGGAAGTTCTCAACGGGGAGGATGAGGGAGCGCGCCATGAGGGCGCGGCGCTTGCGCCACACGATGTCCACCATGGAGGAGACCCAGTTAGAGCGGATCGCGAGGGAATTCTCACTGTCGACAAGTTTGTCGCCGGCGAGCTTGCTCATGCGCTTGGTGCTGAACTCCTGGAAGAGTCTTCCGACGGATTCGAACGCGACCTTGGCGACGGCATCGGCGCGGTCGAGCATATTGGCGGCGACGCGGGCCCACCAGGCGGAGACGCGGTCGAGGAGGTTGACGTTGTTCTCGCAGAGCGTGACGAGGTCGTCGCGCGCGAGAACGCAGCCGAGGGTTTCCGTGACGGAGAAGCGGAGGTTGTCGTTGGGGGAGTCGAAGCACTCCGAGATCTCCTTGTTGCAGTCGGAGATGAGTTTGGCGAGGCGGTAGAAGGGGATGGCAGCGAGGATCGAGACGGCGGCGGCGGCAACGTCGGGGTCCGGGAAGTGGAGGTCATTGCGGATGCCGCTGCAGACAGTTTCCCAGAGGTCCGGGCTGAGGCGTGTGGAGCGGATGAGGTCGAAGGCGAGCTTCTTGCAGACCGCAGAGGCCGGGGCGGCGACGATCTCTTCCACGGCGGTTTTGGCGATGACAGCGATGTCGCGGCCGGCGGCAGACTGCTGGAGAGCCTGGAGGAGGGCGCTGGACTGGCGGAGGGCGTCGTTGGAGCGGAGGTCGGCCTGGATCTGGGCGAAGAGAATGTCCATTGTTAGCTGTTGGTGGGTTCAGCCTTGAAAGAGTGGTGATTTGGGTACTGAAGATGAGGAGATGTTTGGGGTTCAGGTGTAAGGGATTTGGAGATGGTGTAACGATATCATGATCGATCGTGTTATGTTGGTTCTGAGATTTTGCTGATAGTTGTCAGACACTCTTAGTGGTCAAGGTGGTGGCGTTGGGACTGTTCAGAGGTTCAACAATGCCATTGCCGGGATCAGCAGCACTCTACACATTGAAAGGAAAGGACTAAATTTTTATTTTGAATATAATTAATCATTTCAAATTTAGGCTGAATAATACTGATTAATCTTAAGAAATTCAAAAACACATTATGAGAATATAAGAGTATTTTTTTTATTATAACAAGTGAGATGAGATGTTGCATATTTTAAAAGAAAAATGATTTATACTTCTTATTAGAAATTTTAGGAAATTTTCAACAATTTAAATTAAAAGAATATAATTTAAGAATCCTATTAAATCTTAAGAGGATTAAATTGTCTTAATTCTTGGAAAAAAAAGAATTAGATTGTGTTTAATATTATTGAAATTAAATTATTTTTTATTACAAATATAGTGGATAGATTATTTCTCTTTATTTAATTTGCATATGTTATTTATCTTTACTTAATTTTAAAAGATAAACATATTAAAATAGATTGAAAATAAGAGAAATTTTCTTAGTTCTCATGAACCTATATTGGTGATAAGGATCGAAGAGAGACCTTGTGGCCTTGGTTCTAATAGACTAAGAAAACCCGCATGTTGTGCTAGGTTGTCATATTGTTATGGCTTCGCAAGAAATAAGTGACTAGTTTTCATAGAGTTGTGTCACAAAGCATGTCATATTTGTTTTCATAGAATTGTGTCATAAAGCACAGTATTCTTGTTTTCATAGAGTTGAGAAACTAAAAAAACTTGTTTCTTGACTAATTTTTTTTTATCTTTACCAAGTCATTATAGCCTATATGTATGGTATGATATGGGGAATAATGGGTAAAACAAGTTTTTCTACTATGGCCTCATGCTAACCACATTGGTAAGCAAAACCTTTTATTACTTAGACATCTTGAATAGAAGATCCTCAAAAACCCTTTACACTTGACCTTAGAAGTGTATAATCACTAACAGATCAATATCATGAGTTTTCTCATACTCATCATCACTAGAGTTTGATGAATAAGAAAAGGAGAAGAAAAATAAGAATACTTGTATTCTACCTCGCCTCCATCCCATAACACCGTTGTCCTTCTTAATAGACATTCATGAGACACGTGCCCTTAGCCCAAACATTTAAACCATTTAATGGCTCTAATGTTATTATTGGCCATGAGAGAAAGAAAGAAAAGTTTAGAAGAAGGGTGGGAGGTGGCTTAGGTTTTCCATTATCAACTTCCTTCTTTTTCTTATAGGCTCCCATCTTAAACAAGTTTTTTTATTATTTAAAAATGAGATTATATATTCCAATTTATTTTTTATTCTAGTTCGCAATGAATTATTTAAATATTATGTAAATTTTTTTAATTTTGACTAACAAACACTAATATTTTTTAATTTTAAAGATTTATATCCATAATCAAAATAAAATAGATTTCAATTAATGATTATCTATATATAATTTTGGATTTTTAATATAGTATGTAACATTTAAAGTAAATTGTAAAAATAATAAAATTACAATAAAAGTAAATTGTTAGAAAATAAATTGTGCAACAACAAAAAAAGCGTGGAGAAAATAAATTGCATAAAAGTAAATCCAAAACATATTATTAAGGATAAAACATGAATTGATAAAAGAAATAAATAAAGATGATAATCCAAATTACAAAAAATTCTATTGAAAATACTTATCCTTTACGTAGAGTTTTTTAGATATAAATTTCTTTATATAATTTAAAAATAATTTTTTTTACATTTATTTTACCTTATTTATATTCTTGTCACGTAATTGCTAAGACACTTTTAAATATAAAAATAAAAATAAAGTGAAGTCAAATAAATACACAAAATGTAAAATAAAATTCATAAACAGACTACTTCTTATTCTCTATAATTGTTTTTCCATTTTTTTTGTTATGTAATACTTATACATACACTTGTTAAGTAATGAAACCATAATTACTTCTACATATTTCTCTCAATTGTATAACTTCTCATCAATGTCGTCTTGTTTATCTTGATTCATAAAGTTCGACTTAACATTCCAAATTCTTCGATTCTCTTCATTCCATTGACTACACCATACTTTTGCTTGATTTTTTATTTATTCAACTCAATCTCTCTTATTGAAAATACACATTTTTTATTATTTTCTAATTATAACGATTTAAAACTTGTATATTTGATTCACACATTTCTTTATATTAACCTATCTACTCTTAGTTGACTTTCTATCATTAATATTTAACCCATAATAATTTTAATTTATTTTTTCACTGCCATTATTTTCTTTAACACCTCTCGTACTTCTTCATTTACTCCATTTTCATATATTACAAATCTATCGGGAACACTCTTATAAGCTAAAAGTGTTTTAATATAAAATATATATAATTATTTAATTTAAGAGAAATTTAAGGAGAGAATTGTCAAGACTCGTTATAAATTTATAGTAGAAACTTTTAAAAAGTTGTTTGAAAGAAAATATTACGTATTTCAATTAAAGGGAACCAACATAAATTCAGGTAATTGTTCTATATTGTCTATTGCATGCGTATACTATAGTTCTTCTACTACAACATTTTACAAAAGCTCGCAAAATCTACTTAAAAGTATTAGACAAACTATCAGGCCAACATTCAAACCCCCTTCTTAGAATTCAACTATTAATTAAATCCTTTTTTAAACTAATAAAAAGATTATCTCAATATAAAAAGATTTTGTTGTTTCTAAACTAGCAAAAACTACTAACAAGATTACAAAGCCTCATTTTCTTTTACTCAAGTCAAACACATAATCATATCAAAGTTATAACAAGACACTAAACAACTTAACAACCAAGAAACTTGTCACAAAAGTGTCGGACTTAAAAAGTATAGATGACGAATCTAGATGATCATTGTCTACTTATTTTGATGAAAAATAAATATAATTAAATTATGTTTATTTTAATTTATAACAATATCTTACGCAAAAATGGTAGGAATGCAAAGGTATTTTCAACTAACACATCTTATGGAGTTCATATATTTTTGTACTTACATATGTATATTAACATCTTACAAGAAACATTTAACCTAAAGAAGTTAGACATTTTATTAACTATAATCTATTCAATCCCTCGCCTTTCCACAGTAATTTTCATTATCTTATTTTTCACTACGGTTATGAACGAAGATTAAAGAACTTATCAAAGCCTTTCTAATTATCGTTAAAAGGTTAGCAATGAATTTTTTGTTTCGCTTGACAATAATAAAATACCAAATTTTAATATTTTAATAGCGGTATTTAATTCAATTCAAATCCTATTTATTAAGGATTTTTTTTTCTTTTAAGAAAACTATAAGATTGGAAGCACAAGTCTAACAGAAATAATTTCTTTCATTAAATTCAAACGAACATGGCGTTAAACCAGATCAAAGTACAACCTAAGTATTCGATAACAACCCACATACATTTTATTTATTATATTAATTAGTAATTATTTGGAGGTCAATGACTGAAGCATGGAAGTTGTCCAATAACCGGTGAAATGATCACACTAGTTCTGGTCATACCATGAGCTCTTCTGAAGATCATCAATTACTTTGTTATCCACTTGCAGAGCTTTGGCGAGAACTTCGACAGAAATGGGTGGATTAGCTTTAAACAAAGCATTGGCAATTGTGATGGTTCCTGGATTTTGACTGCTAAGAGCAGCAATGGCAACAGCATTGGCATATCCCACATTGAGTTGGAAATGAATGAGACCAATTGGGAAGACAAAGACATCACCCTTGTTGAGGACTTTGGTGAAGAGGCGATTTCCATCTTGATTAGAGGACACAAATCCAACATAGAGAGTTCCCTCAAGAACTATAAGGATCTCTGTGCCCCGAGGGTGAGTGTGGGGAGGGTTTAAACCCTTTTGTGCAAAATCTATGCGAGCCAAAGATATGCCCAACGTGTTCAGTCCAGGTAGTTGATCAACAAACACAGGAGTCACTTGTGCATTCATTGGGTTGTTGGTATTCCCAGGTTCCACGTGTAGGAAGAAATCTTCAGCCTTTACCTGCTTAGGGTCTTTGCAAAACTTTCCATTCACAAATACTACGCAAAGCAAACCGTTTAGTTATAAAATGGAGTGCAATAAGGCATGCAAAGATCTATATATTTAAACTTGTGTTGAAGAATATTGTACGTACCACTACTGGGTTCCTTGACTGCCACACAGAAGTCTTGCAGAGGACTAGGGTCGTAGGCAAAGACAAGTGAGGATGTGAAAGCCAAGATGGCAACAAGCATGCACACAACCTTCATTTTTTTTTCCTCTCGGTATACACGAACTATTCTGCTATGTAATCGGTTGTTAGAAGTGAATTTTGATTCATGGGAAGGTTGGTATTTGTAAGGATGAAGCATTGAACTGGTTTGCAGTTTATATTTACCGTAATTAGTTTTTTTATTTGGTGATGAAGCATTCCTTAACAACTACATGCGTGCGTGATCAAAGAGTAGACTTAGGAAAACCTAAGTGTTTCCGGATATTACCTCAGGAGGTGGCTTTGTTTCTTGATTATACTGGTTCCAGTTATATTATTTTATGAGGAGATGATCTTCAACTAATTCCAAGTTTCGGACTTTGTCTCAATATATTACAATGTCTTCCTGTTACTGTTCCAAGTTTAAACATGGTCATGAAAAGTAGTTGGATGAATATGGAAATATTTGTGATGGATTGGGTCACAATATTCTACCATAACTAACTAATGTATATTTACCACGGCCAAACATAGAGACCATTTCTGATGACACTGTCAACAGTTAAGAAAATTACTGCTAAATTTAATATCAGAAGAGTGTTTGAAGACATGAACTTAAATCCTTAGAAATATATATACGTTGACTTTGCAAGGTGCAATTGCTTCGGGGCCTTAAGTAATTCCCAGTGGAGGAAATGCATGCCGATTTATATAAAACCATCCATAAATATACTACAGTGGATAACTGATTATATTAATATAATATTTATAATATAATTTAGATAAAAGAAAATTTTTATTTATTTATTATTATTATTATTATTATTATTATTATATTAATGAATGAAGTCGTTGATGTACGAGATAAAGAGAGTTTTCAATCTATTTTTTCCTTATTAAGAATTAAATTGTCGAGATAAAAAGAGTCACTAAAAAAGTTGATTTAAGTGAATTGGACTATGCAGATCGAATGAATATTTATGGTTAAAAATGATTAAAGTGTATATTATCGATTAGAGAATTTGTTAAAATTAAAAATATTGTGTAGTAATGTTAAAAGATGAAGAATAATTGAGAATGAAATCTAGGGTTGCTAATAGAGAGAAATACGATATCGATAAGAAGTCGTTATTATCTCATTATGTTACATTTACGCTTATAGGTATTACATAATAACAAAATAAATTGAAAAAAAAGGAGAGAAGGGTTATAGGAAAATAACCATTTGTAAATTTTATTTTTTATATTTTATTTGATTTTACTTTAATTTTAATTTTAATTTAATTTTTTTAGAGTGTCTCGGAGGTTACAAAATGAAAAATATAAATAAGATGAAATAAATATAATAAAAGGTGATTGTCAAATTATACAAATAAACTTGCATTTTGAGAAAACATTACAAATAATGAACAAACATTTTTAATGGAGTTCTTTATAATTTTGATCGTTATCTTTATTATTTTTTTATCAATTTGTTTTATACTTGGTAATTGTTAGATTCATTTTTACGTAATTTTCTTTCTTTTCATATATTATTTTTTGTTGTATATTTATTTTCTAACAAATTATTTTTATTGTACATTTATTATTCTCCCAATTTACTTAATGTTACAAATTGTATTGGAAATTCAAGTTAGATGTGAACAATGATTGAAATACGTTTTATTTTAATTATTGAATAATTGGCGTTGATTTCATATAAATCCTATACTATTGAAAAATTGATAAAATAAAATGAATCTACGTGGTGCTTAAATGATTCATGTACTTGAATATAAATTATTTAATCAAATAATACGAATACTAGAAACAGTAGGTAAATGGAAACACAATTGATCTTTTAGATTTTTTTAGCTATATCTTTTCATGTCTTATGGATTAATTGAAAGTACTTATAATAGATTATAAATAGAATTAATATATTGGCTAGATAAGTTTGTAAAAATATGATTATTTTATTTTGATTAAAAATTAGTTAAAATTTTATAAGTTTTTCTTATAGGGTTAAAAAAACTTAAAAAATTGCTCCAAGTTTAATCATCATAAATTTTCTCTTCGTGGCATGTGCAAAAAGTCAGGTAACTTGGATAAAGAATGTTGATATTATGGAAAATCTCAATGCGAACATAGCAAGAAGTTTGGATATGTAGAAAAAAATTATTATATAAAAAAATAAGCATCAAGCAAATTTCATTGAAGAATATAACCTTCAACAACATCTTTTCTATGCTACCCAAGAATAATAATGAAACAACTAAAAATTAGTACTTGAATAGCTGATGCAGTAATCACATGATCAGAGACAAAAACATCTTTAGGAACATTGATGACTCTGTCAAAGTGAAAGTATGTTTGGAAAATAGAATGCTAGTAGAGTCAAAAGGAAGATATACCATTGCGATAAAAACTATTAAAATTATTTTGTTCATTCTCAATCTTAAAAAAAATATCTTGATCATTTGCTAAATGATGGAGAAAGATCATGCTATTCACTTCAAAAGAGATAGATGTAAAATCTATAATAATAAAAGACAAGAAATACGAGAAGTAAAAATGAAGAAAAAAAAGATTTTCTATAAACTTTAAATATATTACTATAATATTACTATAAAAGTTTAAGTTGATGATTCATAATTTTTACGTGAAATATTTGGACATTTCAACACCAGGCAAAAAACATGATGAGAAGTTGATTTTTACTATGGTTCATAAAATCAAAAATACTAAGTTTGTTTAAAAGATTTTGTAGCATAGAGTGTAAACCTATGTCATTAACCAAACAATCCTATTCAATTTATGCTTGAACAATTGACCTGTTCAATTAATCAATCTAATAGATTATACGAATTAAATATCAGTATCATTTCAAATTGAACTTTGAATATGTATAGTTTAGTTTGTCATTGGATATTTATCACCTTACCATAGAAATTGAAGCCTCTGACATCTGAAGTGCAAAATCACTTAACATCGTGTGGAAACATCTGAAGTTATTTTAGTCACATTGTTTAAGAGACGAAGATTGGATCCAAGCACAACTCTAACAAGAATAGTTTCTTTCATTGAAGTCACAAACATGGCGTTAAACCAAATCAAACTACAACCAAACCAATGGCACACGATAACAAGCCACATACATTTTATTTATTACATTAATTAGTAACTATTTGGAGGTCAATGACTGAAGCATGGAAGCTGTCCAATAACCGGTGAAATGATCACACTAGTTCTGGTCATACCATGAGCTCTTCTGAAGATCATCAATTACTTTGTTATCCACTTGCAGAGCTTTGGCGAGAACGTCGACAGAAATGGGTGGATTAGCTTTAAACAAAGCATTGGCAATTGTGATGGTTCCTGGATTTTGACTGCTAAGAGCAGCAATGGCAACAGCATTGGCATATCCCACATTGAGTTGGAAATGAATGAGACCAATTGGGAAGACAAAGACATCACCCTTGTTGAGGACTTTGGTGAAGAGGCGATTTCCATCTTGATTAGAGGACACAAATCCAACATAGAGAGTTCCCTCAAGAACTATAAGGATCTCTGTGCCCCGAGGGTGAGTGTGGGGAGGGTTTAAACCCTTTTGTGCAAAATCTATGCGAGCCAAAGATATGCCCAACGTGTTCAGTCCAGGTAGTTGATCCACAAACACAGGAGTCACTTGTGCATTCATTGGGTTGTTGGTATTCCCAGGCTCCACGTGTAGGAAGAAATCTTCAGCCTTTACCTGCTTAGGGTCTTTGCAAAACTTTCCATTCACAAATACTACAAATTACAAAGCAAACCGTTTAGTTATAAAAATGGAGTGCAATAAGGCATGGAAAGATCTATATATTTAAACTTGTGTTGAAGAATATTTGTACTTACCACCACTGGGTTCCTTGACTGCCACACAGAAGTCTTGCAGAGGACTAGGGTCGTAGGCAGAGACAAGTGAGGATGTGAAAGCCAAGATGGCAACAAGCATGTACATAACCTTCATTTTTTTTCCTCTCCGTATACTCAAACGTTTCTGCTATGTAATCGGTTGTTAGAAGTGAATTTTGATTCATGGGAAGGGTGGTATTTATAAGGATGAAGCATTGAACTGGTTTGCGTTTATATTTAGCGTTATTAGTTTTTTATTTGGTGACGAAGCATTCCTTAACAACTACTTGCGTGCTTGATCAAAGAGTAGACTTAGGAGATTGTCCATGTGAAAAAGAAAACGCAAATTTTTCCAGATATTACCTCCAGAGGTGGCTTTGTTGCTTGATTATACTGGTTCCAGTTATATTATTTTTATGAGGGTTGATCGTCAACTAATTCAAAGTTTGGAATTTGTCTCATTGATGTTGAAAGTATAAATTGTCTTCCTGTTTCTGTTCAAGTTTAAACTGGTCATCAAAAGTAGTTGGATGAATATGGAAATATATTTGTATCATAACTAATGTATATTTACCACGGCCAAACTTAGAGACCATTTCTGATGACACCGTCAACCGTTAAGAAAATGACTGCTAAAATATTTCAATATCAGAAGAGTGTTTGAAGACATGAACTTACATCTCAAGAGATATATACATTGACTTTGCAAGGAGCAATTTCTTTCGGGGCCTTAGTAATTCCCAGTGGAGGAAATGCATATGCATGCCGATTTATACACAACCATCCATAAATATACTATATATATCAGTGGATAACTGGTTATATTCATATAATATTCTAAATAATAAACGAAATCGATTGATGAATGTAAAACCTGATATTCTAAATAATAAAAGAGAGTTTTCAATCTATTTTTTTCTTTTTATAATAAAGTGACACTTGAGACATTCTTTTGTAAAACCTGATATTTTCTTTCATAGGTAAATGGAAACGCAATTTCTTTTAGAGTTTTATACAGTAAAATTCAGCCATATCCTTACATGTCTTCTGGATTAATTAAAAGGGCTTATATTATATTAGAAATAGAATTAATATATTTCCTTAATAAGTTTGTTAAAATATGATTATAGGACTATTTTGTTTTGATTAAAAATTAGTTAAAATTTTAAAAGTTTATCTTATAGG